TACTATAACACTGTGTATCTAGATTAATAAGACTTGGAACAAAATTATGCAGAAAATAACTCGAAACTTTGAACTTTGAAATTGAAGCATTTCTTATCAAACATAGTTTATATTGTTTTACTTTTTGCTCTTTTTTATTTCAAAAATTTCATATAAAGACATAGATAATGTTATATATCAGTTAAAAGCTAATTAACTATAAAATGATATTAAGCATTTACTAACATCCGATACAAAATTTTGCTCAAAACAGCATCAAACTTTAAACTTTTCTTTACAATTACAAAATTTCATGCAAATTCCTTATTATTAGTAGAGAACCTCTTGTTCCTCTTGTACAATCTTTTCATCCCTCATTGTTCTACAGAGCCAGATTTCGGGTGAAACATCGTTGTTTTATTATTTGCGAAAGTGCTTTCGACCGGGGGGCCCCAAAATGCCCCGGAAAGCTCCCCCTAAGCCCCGTGTTAAGCCCCTGAAGCGCTTGTTAAGCTTTTTGTCAAAGCTCGTTAAGTCGGATCAACTTTACGACGACGTGACGTGACGCTTTTAACGAACATGCCCCCGGACTTGGAAAACGCATTCATCCCCCAGAAGTCCCCTCGGTAATAAAGTCGAAATTATATATTTTAATATATAAACACAGTTGTTGTATTAGCAAGTTTTGTTTGGGTACAAAAACGTAGAATTTGGGGCAAAACGTCTTGAAATTATTTATTATGAGGTCCATTTTCAAGCAATGTCCTTCTGAGATTTTTGTATAATCTTATTGATGAGCATAGTCCTTAGTACATATACAAGTTTAAAGTTTGAGGCTTTTTCTTGCAAAATTTTGTTCCAGAGTTTACAAACATGCTGATGAGGATTTATAGCAAATTCCATCAGCTTTTCAGTAATATATAACAATATCTATGTCTTCTATAAGATTTTTATAAAACAGAGCAAAAGTAAAACAATGTAACCCATGTTTGATACGAAAAGCTTCAATTTCAAGTTTAGCGTTTAATGTTTTTTCTACATAATTTTGTTTCAAGTCTTATTAATCTAGATACACAGTCTTATAGTAAATTGTATTAGCTTTTCACTGATATATAAAAATATATTCTAATACAAGATTTTCGGAAAACATAGCAAAATTTGAAAAAATGCACTTGTTATGGCGCATGAAATGCATCAATTTTAACAATGCTTCTAAAAGAGTTCAAAGTTTGTCGATTTATTGTTTATAATTTTGTTCTGGGCGATAATAATTGGTTAATGTGGTTTTATAGTAAAATATTTCAGCTTTTTAGTAATATATAACATTACCTATGTCGTTATATAGAATTTTTATAAAACAAAGCAAAAAGAACCAAATATAAACCTATCTTCGATATGAAATTCATCAATTTCAAAGTTCAGCGTTTAATGTTCTTTTTCTATAATTTTGTTCCAAGCCTTATCAATCTAGATACACAGTGTTATAGTAAATGTATTAGCTTTCCACTGATATATAAAAACATATATGTTCTAATAGATTCCGAAAAACAGAGCTAAATTTGAAAAAATTCATTTATTATGGCGCATGAAATGCATCAATTTAACAGTGCTTCTAAAAGAGTTTTAAGTTTGTCGATTTATTGTTATATTTTGTTTCTCGGGTGTTAATGATCGGTTTAATATAAACAATATCTATGTCTTATATAAAATTTAATAAAACAGAGCAAAAAGTAGGCAAATATAAACCCTTTTTCGATATGAACTGCTTCAATTTCAAAGTTCAGCGATTAGTGTTCTTTTCTACATAATTTTGTTCGAATTCTTATTAATCTAGACACAGTGTTATAGTAAATTTTATTAGTTTTTCACTGATATATAAAAACATATATGTTCAAATAGATTTCCGAAAAACAGAACTAAATTTGAAAAAAATCAATTTATTATGGCGCATGAAATGCATCAATTTTAACAGTGCTTCTAAAAGACTTCAAAGTTTGTCGATTTATTGTGTATAATTTTGTTTCGGGTGTTAATAATCGGTTAATGTGGTTTTATAGTAAATTTTATTAGCTTTTAGCTGATATATAAAAATATATATGTACTTGAACAAAAATTCTATAATTTAGAGCAAAAAATTGCGCACCAAAATACCTCCATTTTGAAGTTGTCTCAATCTATTAGCAAAGTTTAGTGTTTTTTTGTAAATAATTTCGTTCCTGATATTATTTATTAATAAACACAGATTTATAGTAAATTTCATCTCCTTTTCACCGATGTGTAAAACTTGCCCTACTTTCATACAAGATTTTTTATATAATACAGAAAAATAAAAAAAAAAAGTGCGTCCTACGTTTGATATATAAAATAACATATTGTGTTTATCCCAAATAAATTTTTATATACTTACGATTCAAAATCGACAAAAATTCCATGTTTATCCTTATCAGGATTCAATCCTATATCCTTAAATAATTTAGGATCAGCTGCAAAAAAATGAGGCAAACTTGCATTATTGGGGCTCCTGTGCAAGGACTCAGATCAAAAGTTCCTAAAAAAGGACACAAATAGTAGAAATTATCCTTTATTATTATTTAGGATATAATTACTGCTAAAGGGCAAGGTCTGGGTCTTTTTTGGGCAATAACATTTGGCGTCAGGGTCGGTTTTGGGGTCTCCAAACGTTGCATTGTATCTGAAACATAAAATAATAATGCTTTTAAAGTCATTTTTCGAGTAACCGAGTTGTTGTAGAGTATTATAGTGTTAGACAATGTTATTTATTATTAAATTTTTAAACAAAATTTGCCGAATACATCATTCATATTATCGAATGGTTTTCAAGTTATAAACGATGCAACAAACAAAGGTACTTTTCTCTATATTTCCTCTTGATAGGAATACCCATATAATAAATGCTGTTTTGAGGTGCATTTTTTATGTCATTTTTTGAGTAAACCGAATTGTTCTAGAGTGTTATAGTGTTAGACAATGTTATTTATTATTCAATTTTAAACAAATTTGCCAAATACAACATCCATATTAATCGAATGGTTTTCAAGTTATAAACGATGCAACAAACAAAGATACTTTATTCTATATTACCTCCTGATAGGAATACCCAAATAATAAATGCTGTTTTGAGGTGCATTTTTGAGAAAACCGAGTTGCTGTAGAGTGTTATAGTGTCAGACATTGTTATTTATTATTTAATTTTAAACAAATTTGCCTAATACATCAATCATATTAATCGAATGGTTTTCAAACAATTGTACTTTTTTCTATATTACCTCCTGATAGGAATACCCTTATAATATCCTTCCCCTTCATAAATTGCGGCTGTTGACCTGCAAATATCCGAAGAAAATGACCACAGACCCTCTGAGGGTTCCAAAAAGGGCGGAAAAATCGTCGAATCGGTGCCTCTTAATTTTGTACAAGATTTAGTCTCATTAACTGAAAAATAATAAGAAAAACAGTCGACATGAGTATACTTGTTTAGTTTTTTTTACGATAACTTTTTCTTAATAACATTTTTGGGAAACTGATTAAGCCAAATAAATTTGCATGAATTTTTCGATACTTTTGTGAATACCGAATTTTTGTAAGTTATATGAAAATAAATTAAAAATGCACAAACTTTTTGTTTTGTTATTATAGTAATCAAACCCTGCATTAGTGCATTCGTTAGGTTTTTAGGCATAACATTTTTCCTAATGAAAATTTTGGAAATATGTTTGCATTCTATGGAAGTGTATGAAATTCTTTATTTTTTTCGTAAATAACATATTACCCAAAAAAGTAACTACAAGCCTTTAAAATTCACAAAATACTAGAAGATTTCGTACAATTATATTTCTATTACAATTTTATTTTCTGACCTGGTTTTTTAGGAGGGTCATCATCTTCATCGTCTCTCATCCACATATCTAATGTTTGAGAACCTCTGAATTTTAATACTTTCCTAAATCTCCAACGTTTCTCAAACCTCTCGAAATTGTGAACGAATCCAGGGCTGTGTTATTCTCTAAAAAAAAAAAAAAATACTAATAAAAGAAGTAAAAATGAATAAGAAATATTATGTTTATTCATTTATCATTTATCATATTATTGCCTTTAGTACTTTTGCTTTCGAAATTCGATTTTTAAAAGTGATTTAAGACTATTTGCAAAATTTGTACAATTTTTTTGGTGCACGAAAGTTTTTAAAGAATTTTATAAGCTATAATTTACTAAAATGTTCTTTGACCTAAAGTCAACATTTTAATAAATAAAACGTAAAATGTAAAAGTGCTAGTAAGTAAAAAACACTATCCTGATAGAAATGCATCACAATATAATAGTATAACTTTTAAATTATTTGCTAAATATAATTTAAGTATATGGACAATTTGTGCAAAATTAAATAACAAATAATATTGTCTAACATCAAAAGTCTCTACAACAACTCAGTATACTCTAAAAATCATAAATTCGAACGCTAATTTTATAAACATTTTATTTTGACAAAAACGTATTACTTTAATATATTGTATTTAACTTTTAAACTATTCGTTTAATATAAATAATATGTATGGACAATTTGTTTAAAATTATATAATAAATAATATTGTCTAACATCAAAAATCTCTACAACAACTCGGTATATACTAAAAATGACAAATACGAACGCTAATTTTATAAATAAATACGTAATGACAACTTATTGGCAATTGGGTCAATAATTTTATTCTCTGTATATATATATATATATATATATATATATATATATATATATATATATATAATTATGACGTTATATATTCGATATATCGAAAATGTCCTGCAGGGTATCGATGACATTTTAAAAGTGATTACAAATTATCGACATAATTATATCGACATAATTCCTTTGCCTTCAATTTATTCATGTTAATTTAATTTTTATCAAGGTTCAGTATCAGATAAAATAGTTTATTTCTAATTTAGCACTTGACTGTTATTTATCTGAAATATTTAATAAAAAAAATGGTCTTTTCACTTACATATCCAAAAAACGAATACTTCAAATCCCCGCCCTCCAGCTCCTCTAACCCTTTTCCCTCGTCTTTCATCCCTATACAGACAGCCTGGGCCTGGAATTCCTCCCTGTTGCATTTAATAATAAACCCTTTGAAAAGGGCTTCCTTGGCACTGGTTCGCAAAAACAGGTCCGTCTGGTTGTCGTAAATAATAGGAAGGGCCCGATTTACGATGCCCAACATGCCTGGTTTTGATTCTGCCACTTTTACTCCTAGACCCTGGGAAAAGACGAAAAAAGCTTTGGAATTTTGAAAGTTTTGGATGAATTTTAAAAGTATACCAAGTTGATTTAGAGTAGGGAATGCAACAACGGTATTTCGGTATACCGGTAAACCGCCCGATTTTTCGGCGGTATTTTTACCGGTATTTACCCCAAAAATACCGATATTTTCGGTAATTTTACATAAGCGCAATTTGATACATGATACACTAAAGTTTAAATTTCTCGGAACAAATTTATCTTAAAATTCCATAATCGCATAAACAGCTATATCTTCAAGTGATTATATAAGATAAACAAATGTCAAATATTATCTCAACTCGTCATTAAACTGAATATTTATTGCTTTCCAAAGGGCTTCATATTGTGTTACAATAAATAGAATTGGACTGATAGATTTTGATGTTTTTTTCATCTTATGTAAAAATGTAACTGTTTTTTAAGTGATATTTGCGCCAAAATATTTTATATCATACAGATTATCCGTGCGGAATCAATTTTCTAACTTTATACGTAATAATTATGATAATTACTAAATATTTTTGCTTCTTATTACAATTATAAAACATTATTTTTCGGAAACGTTTCAAAGTTTGAAAATACTATAGCAGCATCACATTGTTTTAAATAACAATATTCAACAATTATAGTAACTTATTATTTATCTCGGCAAAGAATCCGATCTTAAATTAGTGTAGACAAATTATTTTTTTAAAATATTGGAGATTATGCTAATTTAACACATCGGAAACAGACAATACAGTTTATTGTAATAATGTAATAAGATCTTTTATGAGTTTTTGGTCTTTCTTTCTCATAAGTTTGTTTTTGGTGAAAAATACTCAATATACTCGATAGTGATAATGAATTAATTAAATTGGATATAATTTTGTTAAATTATTATTTAAAAAAATAAACTTATTGTTTTATTTTATTGTTTTCATTGTTTAGTTGAATATAGTTGTAGTTGTATATACATTTTTTAAAATTTGTACTAGTAACTTTCAATTTTGTTCACGTTTGTTTAAGATAATAGAAATACCGGTAATTTACCGGTATTCCGGTTTCAAAATGAAAAATTACCGAAATACCAGTATTGAAATTTTTTATCGGTATTGCATTCCCTAATTTAAAGTATTATGGTTACTTACCAGGATGAAGGGATGTGGTATGACGATTTGTTCGTCTCCAGTAAGTGGTGCTGATTTTTCCTGATTAAAAAACCATGTTGTCTTCATTTTGAATGTTATGGAGTCATCCAATTCGTTGTCGACTTGGTCAATTTTTTCTCTCCAGAAACTGGAAAAATAGAAAAAAAAAGAGTGCGCGTAAGGTTCACACGCGATTGAAGTAAAACTTATTTGCTACTGTACAAGATGGCATTTAAGTAAAAATAAATACATCATATAACAATTTTGAATAGTGTTTATTAGTAATATGGTAACACTCGTAATGCACACATTTATCAGTGTCAACCATTATACACATTTAAGTAATAATAAATTATAAATTATATATTCATAATAGCATTAAAAATTTACATGGTTCTTATAATGTTTATTTCATAAATTTATCAAAAACGAACGTGACGAACAGACATAAAGAGGAACATGTTGGTTGAGTTCTGGGACACCCTGCACACGTATATTGGTAAAAAATATAAATTGTATTTTTAAGCATTTATTTTTGTTTTCTTAGTCCAACAATACCTATTTTGAATTTAAATTATTTAATAAACTGCAAAACTTGTACTCGTGGCTGCAAAAATGAAATGTTGAGGTATGTCACGTACTTCTTTTATTTGCCATGAATAAAATAATATTTGAAGAGTTGTTTATAAGGATAAAATGCATTTTATACAGTACCCGTAGCAAAATTCTGCTAACTATTATCATATAACATGTATTTCTTATAAGATACCTATACCATCTTCACGTATGCCTAAACCTTAAATTCTATTCGTACGCCTTTTAACTAACTTATATAGTACGCCTAATACGCCTAATACGCCTACTACCCTATATACGTAACACGCTCAATATTATTCCGTATCTTACACCTATAATGTTCCTTAAACGCTAATTTTTCCGAACCCTACCGGGAATCGAACCCGAGCCCTCTGCGTGGAAGGCAACGACCTTAACCGCTAGACCACCGTGTCGCTACGATTTGACGTCTTTTTTCGCGTGTCGTCGCGTCACCTTAGTATTAGTATTAATTACTTAATTAATAGGTAAAGTGGAAAGAACAATGCTTCTCTTAATATATTATTTGTGGGGGACCCAATAGAGTAGTGGTTAAGGCTGTGGACTGCCACGCGGTGGTCCTGGGTTCGATTCCCCGTGCGGGCGATAGATAGTAGAGTATACGGTAGAGACAATAGGTAATAGATAAGAGTAAAATATAGCGTTTAAATAGTAGTATGTAAGGTTTGTAAGGGGTAAAAAGATACGTAGGGGTATATCTTATATATAATAAGTTAACAGCAAATAATGATAAAGCGATATATATCTATATATCTATGTAGGAACTGATGGTCTTAGTTATCGTAACGGTATGATTAGGTAATAATTAGATTTAAGTCTTTTAACATATTGTAATAGATCTTGGGTAGTTTTATATAAAAAAGAGTGCTCCTAAGGTTCATACGCGATTGAAGTAAACCTTATTTGCTACTGTACAAGACGGCATTCAAGTAAAAATAAATACATCATACAACAATTTTGAATAATGTTTCTTAGTAATATGGTAACACTCGTGATGCACATAATTATTAGTGTCAACCTTTATATTATTTTATATTTTTATTTATATAATAATAATTTATAATTTTGTAATAATATTAAAAATATTTAAAATATTTGAAAACAATAATGCAATTAAAGTCATACTTCAAATACGACCTGATCGATTTGTCATTGCAATTAGCATTTAGAAATAAACCTTAATTTGAGAAATGAAGTAATTGCTGATAAATAACTTCTATAATATTTGTTCACTCAGTGGATTATGCTAAACGACGCCCAAACAAATATTGTTTTCACAATTTTCTTCATCATCATATAATATTCGTGTTTGAAGAACTTCATATAATTGAAATTAACATACATTCATTGACTGCTTGTATTTTTAACTTCCCGTAGGGTAGTTATAGTAATGAGCCGAAAATCGAAAATGAACATGGCATACCTCAAAAAAATGGATGTGTCTGCGTGTGTGTGTGTTTTGTATGTCCGCATTTTTTCGTCCACGTTTTCGGGCGCACGGATCAACCGATTTGAATGGTGCAAAAAACATTCGATTCCTATTGATAAGGAGATGCGCTGATTAGTTTTTGGCAAAGGCAGGTCCAGCCGTTACTTTTCCGATTTTGTGAAATGAAAACTATTGAAAAATGTGAAAATGCCGTCAAACTAAGCACAATATAAGTGAAAATGTCGCACAGAATTATTTGCAAATGCGTTTAGACTGTGACTATACGGGAGCACTTTTTCAATTTTGTGTAAATTAGGCAACTATTTTTTTTTGAAATTGAATTCGAAATGAAATGACGATTGTTAATGTTCTGGAGATAAATTGTTTTATGATTTGATTTACATTTGATTATTTGCTCAGATATAACAAGATAGCAAAAATAATGAAAGTCACAGCATTTGTAATCATATATTTGAAAGAGTTTAAAATTTTTAGAATATTTCATTACGATACGGGAAGTTCCAGCAATTTGCCTTAAGGCACGATGCCATACACCACTAATTCACTTTTCACCCCAGCTCTCCTACTATTATCCTATATTTATATATACACAAACGATTTTATTTTAGCTTATCATTTCATATATCTCATGTTATTATTTTGTGATTACACGAGACAATCGTAATACGAATCTAAAATTACATATGAAAAAACATAATTCAATATTTTAATTAGTAATTAGTAATTAGAAATGGAATGACATCCATTTTATTTATTTAATTAAAAGGGAAAGATCGAATAAAATCGATACATATGAAATATTGAGTTGGTGATGCAATTTTTTATTCAAACTGGAAATAAATGAAATATTAAGTGAATTTGGTGGAAATTGAATTCTTTAAACATTCTTTCTAATAAATAAATATTCAGGATTTGGAGAAATAGTTAACAATGCAAGTTGATAGTATATTTATAGTTATTAAACATATATTTTATAATTGATTTATTACTACAGATTGTGATATTTGATTTTTCCTATATGAGTATGCAAATTAATGTTGCATTTTAGTGAAAGAGTTAAAACAGCAAATCGTGATTCACACAGTTCGATGGCAAATTGAAAGTATTATATAAACGACTTTTTGAATTTCTAAAATATCTCAAAGCGTTCTCGAGATATTTAATTTTTAAACATTTCGATTTCGCAGGATCCATATTGATTTTTTACAACTTAAAAAATTTGCAAAGTGTAAAAATGCAATTTTATAAAAACTATTGCAGATATCTTAGTGATTCAAAAAGTTGTTTTAATAACATTTTTAATTTGCCATCGAATAGTAACAGTCTTGATTTCCAAATTTCACAATAACTCGGTATACCCATAAATATACCCAACCAATTTTAATTGAATTTCTTGTATCTTATGTCCCCCAGCTCTCTCACTATTAGCCGTTTTATTAATTTTTAATAAAGTGTTCGATAATTTGAAAGATAAGATAAAAGATGTGTAAATAATTTAATAATTTCTTTTGATGATGTATTCACAAATGAAATCGAATAAAAAAGAAATTAGTGATGTAATGTAATTGTAATTCGATATTATGTTTGTTTTGTATTACATATGGACTAATATGAATTCAAATGGATATATGAATATATAAGTAGTAATTAAATACAAGTATATAATACATATATATATATATATATATATACATTCCGATATAAAAGTTTTGAATAAAACGACTTTGAATTCGATGATATTTCATTCTTTAGCAATAAATAAAAAATTCGGGACATTTTTTTGGTTTTTGTCACATAACTCAAAAATTTCATATGAAACCACCCCTTTTCAGTTAGATAGGGTGAAATTAGATAAAATTTACAACATTTTGTAGGGAACACTTTTATACACTCCAAATAAAAGTTTTGATTAAAACGACTTTGAATTTGATATTTCATATATAACTCTGACGAATAGTTTAGAGATATCATGCACAAATTTATAAACTAATTTTTTCGTTCCTAAGAAGTTTTACTTCAAAACCCGACATCCACTCTAATCTAATCACTCTCTATGGGTTTTTACAGCCCATTTACATCTTTGCTCTGCCGAAGTACTTTCGACAATTTCCGTACTTGGGTACTTTGGTCCGAATTACCGGACTTCCGGAGTTCCGGAGTTTCCGGATGTAATTACCCTCAGAGAGGCTATTTAGGGGTAGTTAACCACTTGTAGTGGCTAACTTTGCATTCGACGAGGACTGATAATTAGCCCTTTCCCAGGGGAGTAAGGTATACGTAATTAGGGTTTCAAGAGGGAAAGACGCATTCTGGGGAAGTTATTGTTTGGGGAAAGGACAACTCGGTATGATTTAAAATAAAAAATAAATAGTAAAATAAATAAACTTTTTTATGGAAAATAACGTTTGATAAATATGCATATATTCAAACACATATATTATTTACATCATTCGGATTTCCCCAACTTTTTTCCATATTTATTTCTTTCAACATTTCAATTCGAAGAACAGTTTTCTTCTAAGAAAGAAGTTTTCAAGACAAGAATTTTTGCTTTTGCTGAAAAGTCGAACAAAATACAAATATTGCCCGAGAGAGATTTCATTTCGAACAAAAAGGATACGTCAGTCGGAGAAAGGATACATACGAGTATTTTCCAGATAAAAATGAAGTAAAATAATAAAAAATATATAGAAAAATAAATAGAGGATAATAGTTAAGGATATGTGAAGCTTTATGTATAATATATAATATATAAAGAGAGATTTAGACGAATTCTTGCGAAAGACACAATGAAACATTTGATATATAAACTTTATTGTTCGAGGCTATTTTAAAGCATACTGAGTTGCTGTATGGCATTATAATGTTAGACAATGTTTTAGATAATTTAATTTTAAATAAATTTGCTGAACATTTTGTAGACTTCACTCAAATACTTTAGAAGATACAAACGCAATTTTGTAAGAAAATGATACTCAAATTCCAAAGTGATTTATTTGTACACCGAGTTGCTGTAGGGCATTATGATGTTAGACAATGTTTTAGATAATTCAATTCTAATTTGCTGAATATTTTATAAACTATACTCAAATATTTCAAAAGATACAAAATTTTTAGTAAATAAATATCCTTAAAATTCATTTTTAGTGAAGGCTTTGTGTAAGAGAATGTTAGTCAATTTTTGAGGTTTTACCATAATTTATATATATATATAAATAATAATATATAAATTTATATATATATATATATATATATAACAAAATCATTTTGCAAAAAAATCTGAACATTGATCTGCTTGTAATGTCCGGTACAAAGTTCAAGTTAAGAACAAATATATAAACAAATACTTATAAATAAATTATAATTATACTCATATACATGTAAATAATTATATAAATATATATATATATATATATATATATTTATTTATAAATAATTCAATGTCGAACAATCATCTGCCTCATGTCCATCAATCAATATTTATTGTCAAGTCATTTCTTAATGTTAATAATTATTAGAAATGATTATTTTTCAAACAAATTTATCTGCAAAACGTCTCAAGGACGTTTGTGGATACTTTAAATAACAAAATATAATTTTAGAAATAATTATATACTTAAAGTTCCGTACTAAGTACATAAAAAACCGTTTTAAGGCTACAAATGGGTATTTATTTGTTATATCGCTTATAACTTCTAAACAATTTGTTTAATTTAAATGAAATATTCGGGAAATTTGTTCAAAATTAAATAATGAATAATATTTTCTAATATCATAGTACCCTAAAGCAACTTAGTATATTTTAAAATCAATTTCAAACATTTTTATATATACTTACTCATATTGGTAAGGTCCAATTTCTTTGACAATTGGTACGGAACCCGTTTGGATTTCTTCAGGGTTAGTGACATTGAAAATGTATATTTTAAATTCCATAGGAAATGGAAGTTTTGTCCAAAGAGCCCGACTGTCCGACCCTGGTTTCAAAGAAACCTCCTGAAAGAAAAAATAAAATAATAATAATAAATTTGCTTTAAATAATTTATTTTATTACAACTTTTACACTATGATTTTTTCACGAATTAAGTACTTTGCTCAGATAATTAAGCATAACTCATACAAAAAAAATGTTTTTTCTAATTTTTAAATTGAAAATTTTAACCAAAACATCCAAAATTAGTTGTGCATTTACAAAATTCATTATCTTTACTACTAGGTCTTGTACATACTTTTAAACCTACACAACTTTTTCACAAATTTCATCTCTGTTTTGTCTGCAGAAAGTTAAAAAAATTGTGAAGTTTAAAAATGCAATATCTCAAAAATTATAAAAGGTAATTAGGTGATTCAAAAAGTTGTTCATATAACATTTGCCATCGAACTATAATAACAAAAATACATTAAAACTAATAATCTGAATTTTGAAAAAAATCATTTTTATCTTGGCTAATAAATATTTTTTTTAATTAAGAATTTAAATTTTTACCTCGCTTATTTGGTTCCTAAAAACCTTTGGAAACACCAAAAATCCAACGACGACACCAATTAGGCACACCAAAAGGCAACCGACACCAATTTTTATTGATCTTTTCATTTTTAATTAAATTCACTAAATTGTACTTTCACTAAATTTTATAATTCACTAATTTGTACATTTAATAATAAACAAATTAAATTTAACACCAATCAGAGAATTGAATCTTAAATTTTCACATTTCTAGTATAATTTTATTTTACATTTTCTTGATTAATAATAATAAGTTTTAATTGTTTATATAAAATTTAGCTAATAATTTAAGATTATCCCGAAAGTTTTTTTTGAACAAATTTAATTTTATATAATTTATATAAAATTAATTTACTTTGCATTATTCCAATATAAATTAACTTATTATTATGAATACTAATTTTCAAGTATTTTTTAATATTTATGCTAAAATTTATTTTAACAATTTTAACATATTTATAAAATTTTAACAAAATAATTTCACCTTGTTTTAAACATATAAAATTATATTAAACTGATGTAAGTAAAGTAAATAATTTCCATATAATTTATGAACAAATTTATTTGCAAATATTGCGAAAAATTTACGTCAGAATATACGCAAATATATATATATATATATATATATATATATATATATATATAAATTTAAAATTTTATTATCCACTTTTAGTTCACCAAACTTTTCTCACTTTTTAACGCTAATTTTACGCTAATTGTTTTGTTATTAATAATTTTCTTCCAAGTTTTATTATTATTATGATTTTTATTTTTATTACTATTATGATTTTTATTTTTATTTTTATTATTAATATTTGTTACTAATTTTATAATAAATTAACATGTCCTCTGTCTATTAGTTTAGGTGCAAAATTAATTTGCGTCTGAGAAACTAAAACAATAAATTGCTCAAAGTATAAACAATTTAGCAATAATGGATATTGTTTATAAATTTAAACAATTTTATCGCTTGCAAGGTTAAATTTGCTATTGTTTAGTATATCGTGTTAATTTCTAAAACAAAAGAAGGAATTTTGATTTAGTTTTCAAAATCTTTGTTAAAATTCTTTTTATTTTGGTGTCAAACGATTTGGAATGCTAATTTTGAAGAAACGGCTTTACCGATTGTCGCAAAAAAGTAAACACTGCTAATTCATATCCAGTTTTATCGAATGGTTTTTAAATTTTTTAAATCGGTACAGCCGTTTTTGAAAAAACAGCGTCGAAAGGCCAAATTTTAACTCACCTACATAGTTTTAACAATTTTGGTGTCAAACGATTAGGAATGCTAATTTTGAAGAAACGGCTTTACTGATTATCGCAAAAAATTAAACAACACTAATTCATATCCAGATTTATCGAATGGCTTTTAAATTTTTAAAATCGGTACAGCGGTTTTTGAAAAACGGCGTCGAAAGGTCAAATTTTAACTCACCTACATAATTTTACCAATTTTGGTGTCAAACGATTAGGAATGCTAATTCTGAAGAAACGGCTTTACCAATTGTCGTAAAAAATTGAACACTGCTAATGCATATCCAGTTTTATCGAATGGCTTTTAAATTTTCAAAATCGGTACAGCTGTTTTTGAAAAAAACGGCGTCGAAAGGTTAAATTTTAACTCACCTACATAATTTTACCAATTTTGGTGTCAAACGTTTAAGAATTCTAATTCTGAAGAAACGGCATCACCGATCGTCGCAAAAAATTAAACACTGCTAATTCATATCTAGTTTCATCGAATGGCTTTTAAATTTTCAAAATCGGTACAGCCGTTTTTGAAAAAACGGCGTCGAAATATCAAATTTTAAGTCATTCACAAAATTTTACCAATATTGGTGTCAAACGATTTGGAATGCTAATTCTGAAGAAACGGCTTTATCGATCGTCGCAAAAAATTAAACAACACAAAAGTATATCCATATTTATCGGATGGCTTCTAAATTTACAAAATCGGTACAGCCGTTTTTGATAAAACTGCGTTGAAAGGTCAAATTTTACCTCACCTACATAATTTTACCAATTTTGGTGTCAAGCGATTTGGAATGCTAATTCTGAAGAAACGGCTTTACCGATCGTCGCAAAAAATTAGGCAACACAAAAGTATATCCAGTTTTATCGAATGGTTTTTAAATTTTCTAAATCGGTACAGTCGTTTTTGGAAAAACGGCGTCGAAAGGTCAAATTTTAACTCACTTACATAATTTTACCAATTTTGGTGTCAAACGATTCGGAATGTTAATTCTGAAGAAACTGCTTTACCGATCATTGCAAAAAATTAAACACTACTAATTCATATCCAGATTTATCAAATGGCTTTTAAATTTTCAAAATCGGTTCAGTCGTTTTTGAAAAAACGGCGTCGAAAGGTCAAAATTTAAATCACCTATATAGTTTAACCAATTTTGGTGTCAAACGATTTGGAATGCTAATTCTGAAGAAACGGCTTTACCGATTGTCGCAGAAAAGTAAACAACACTAATTTTTATCTAGTTTTATCGAATGGTTTTTAAATTTCCAAAATCGGAACAGCCGTTTTTGAAAAACGGCGTCGAAAGGTCAAATTTTAACTCACCTACATAATTTTACTAATTTTGGTGTCAAATGGTTAAGAATGCTAATTCTGAAGAAACGGCTTTACCGGTCGTCGCAAAAAATTAAACAACACAAAAGTATATTCAGTTTTATCGAATGGCTTTTAAATTTTCAAAATTGGTACAGCCGTTTTTGGAAAAACGGCGTCGAAAGGTCAAATTTTAAAACACTTACATAATTTTACCAATTTTGGGGTCAAACGATGTTGACTTAGTCAATAAAATTTAAGTGCACAATATTTATAAAATTATAATATATATATATATATATATATATATATATATATACAATATATACAAAAATACTTTTTTATAAACAATTCCATTATTTTTCAATTATTTATAACTATATATTATTATTTTACCTCACCAAGTTTCACAATCGATTTCCGTTTATTTTGCGAAATTTTCATACTCTATTAAAGTTTCCATCACAGTCTAATTGTTATAAACAATTGTCCATTGATATATAAGATATAAATAACTTTTTACATTATTTATAATAACAATTTGTTATTATTTTTAATAACAATTGTTATATTTCAAATCACATGTCTCGTCTTGATCAATGTCAGAACGTTACTGATGCGACCAAGTAATAAATGGATATTTTTTCATTGATTATATAATTATATATATATATTATATAATATATATAATATATACAGATAGATAGATTTATAGATAAATAGATATAAAGATAATTCCTGAATTATATATTCGGGTTTTTTATAACCTGTTCCTCGAACGTAATCTATTTATAACTGGTTTTTAATAGTTTTTTATTCATAGGAATTTATTTTTTTAAATATTTTTGCAAGTGTTAAAATATTTTTCACTAGGTGTCAGTGGCATTAAGTGCGATAAAAAATCGACTTAATTAATAAAAA